GGCGAAGCGCGGCTCTGCCTGCTTGGGGCGGCAGGGGTCGGGTGGAGTGTCCTTCCTCTGTGCTGCGTTTCTTGGATGATGGCGTGGGCAGCTGTCTTGCCGTAAGGCTGTCGCTATCCAAAGATAAACTCCTTTGGTTGCTTGGTCAAACACGTGGGTTTCATTCCTAAAAAGTCACAGTGCACCTCCTGGGGCCCTTGCCCCATGTAGTCCACGTGGTTCTAAAGGGAGCACTTGTGTTCGAGGGACTAAAGCAGTGGTTTTCACCCTTCTGCAGTTGTCGGTCCATAACGCTTTCTGCTGGCGGTACAGGTCTCTTTGGGAACGCCTCAAACACGGCATTTAATATTTTACTTTTCTTAGCGACCTTTCCCAGATAGCTAGGATGAGATTCACAGGCAACCCCAAGAGGTTCACTGCCTGAAAATCACCGAAATAAAATTAAAAAAAAAAAAAAAGGAAGTAAAAACAGAAAGGGGAAACCAAACACAACAGGACAGAACTTTAAATGGTTTGAGGATCAAAACTTGAAAGTTAGGATTTACAAAGGGCCTTAAAACACCAGAAAGATGCAGGAAACAGGAAAAAAAAAATCACATAAGTTGCTTGGTTTTGTCTGGCTTTGTCATATTCACCATTTAAGTTTCTAAAAAGAAGTGTTAGGCTCCTCAGTGTATGCTGTGTTTGGCGGCAGCCAAACGAGATTACTTATGATGAATTGTTAAATTGCTTGCTAACCCAGAGACGTGTGGACAAAACTTCATGATAGCTAAAGCTTTTTGTTGCATTATATTTCTTTTTTTCTCTGCCTCTGTGGAGGTGTACAGAATTTGAGAGGCACTCACCATAGGCTAGCACTAAAAATGAATACTGCTGTTGAGCTCAACATCTTTCACTGTCGAAACAGTGAAAATTATTCAAAATACTAAAAGGAATATAAGACAACCTAAATAGTATATGCTTTTTACTACCACTAGCTGATGTGGGTATTTTCTTTAGTGAATGCTACTCATCGAAAGAAAAGCAGGAGGAAGGATAAGGAGGAGTTGTAATGTGATACTAGTTTTCTGTTTAGAGCCTCAAAAATCACTTTACAAGTCATGGATGCCCTGCTTGCATACATGCTGGATGCAAACAGGCATTAAGTGGATTAATAGCAGTCTGTTAAATTTAACAATACAGTGAACATCAGGAATGAATTAATGTGAAACCCTTTGGTAACCAGCGCAGCTACTTAAACGATGTCCTTCTGCGCACACAAATATTTATATGCTATATGCAGAAGGGGTGGGGAAGCCAAGCGCTTTTTCACAAAGGAGGTTCTGTTTTCAGTAACATGATTCCAGTTAGTCCTGGCCAAAACAGTAATGCCTACAGCAATTATAACAAAGGGAAAGTATTTTTAATTTGGTGGGGTTAGATCTCTTTTGTCTCATCAGCGCTATGCAAGTATAAAGACAGGTGAGGGGTGAGTGTTTGGATGCTGGCAGTTTGAATTTATGATGTGTGAAAGAATGTCTGATGTGAGAGTGGTATGTGAGACGTTAATGTGTAATATTTTTAAGGTTTGAAACAAAGGAAAGAAAACCTATGTTGTGATAGAAAATATGGAAGAGAAATTCCGGGCATTTCTTTAAACATGAACATAACACTGTTGAAAGCCAGAGATGTCCAAATACCTGGTCCTTGTCTGTTTCTGTTTAAAACTAATATTTCATTTATTTGATTGGATGGCTTAACACTTGATTTACTTTCTGTTAAAGTTTATCCTCCCCTGTAAACCTCACCATCAGTGGAAAAAACAAGCTGCTCCATAAATAGCAATATTTGTTGAGCCTGTTTTTCTGTGCCTGGTGACCTGTATCCCCCTCACTCCACTGCCTTTTCCTTGCAGCATTTATCTATCTCCCAACTCGTTCTTTCCTTTAAATACTTGGGCTCTCAATTCTCTACAAGTTCAGTTTCAATATCCCTAAAGCCTCTCCAAGGCGAGAGATACTTTGGGGTTTGGGAGTGTTTGTTCACACGTGGGTCTGCGTGTGGTGGTTAGTGAGCAGCAGACCAAGCAGAAATGGTAACAGTTCAGTTCCTACTGTAGCATTTCCCTTGTCAGGGTGACTAATCTGTGTGTGTCTCGTTTGAATCCAGATGCTGATTTTTGAAAGTGGTAAGGATATAGTTGTAGGAGACCTTTAACTCTCTGTTAAACTTGACTTAAATTTGCCATTGTGTTCCAAAAGTAGTTAAGAGGACACTGGCAGAGACCACAATTGCACAACTCTTGTTTTATTTGGAAACCAGGCAAAAAGAGTTACATTTTTTAATAAGCATTTGGTACCATATGCTGAAGAATGATTCATGTGTCTTAAACTTACTGTTGGCAATTAAACAATTCATCTCTGTAACCAAGACTGATTAAAAACAATATTTCTCATAAGTTAATCTTGGGTCAACACTAGACTTTCACTAATGTAGCTGTATCAAACGTCTCTGATTTATAATCAACGTAACTCTGCAAGCAGATGTCTTTGGATTAGATGCAGGTCATGTCTCAAAGTTAAACTTTGGTCAGTTTAAATTGTCTTGTCTTTAACCTGAAATAAAGGTTTTAAAATTTAAAGCTTTCTTAAATCTAAAGTCCTAATGATATCTCTTTAACAACTCCTTTGCTGGTTTTGGGTTGTTTTTTTTTTTTCCCTAAAATGATGATGCACCTCTACTCCAAGTGAATTTGTGGGAACTGGCTGTTTCATTTCATGACCACATCAGAATGAAATTTGTTTGAAATAATCAGTAAGATTTCATGGGACAGTGATAGCACAATATTCCTGGAAAACCTTTGGATTCTTTTTTATAAATAATTTTATGTTTTCCAATCCGCTTTCTTAATTGCCTGTTGCTCGCTTCCAGCTTGAATCATACAACTCGTAGATCAGCCACTAAATAAACCTCACTGCAGGAATAAAACCTCAACTTTTCCTCCCTTTTGCAGAATTACGTATATCTTTCTAAAGTTTACTGCTGATGAAGTTGTCCCAAAATGTGATTTTTCACTAGGCTGCTATGCTATCGTCGTCCTCTGTTAGGTGTGAGAAACTTATAAGTAATTTTTTGTTAGGAATAAAACAGTAGAGTAAGTCTTTATTTACAAAAGACATTAAAAGTTAATTATTATATCTTTGTATTATACTGTTAATTTCACCCTATTTACTTCCATGTTTTTAATTCTTTCAGGCACTCTTTCTAACCTGTTTGATCTGAAGTGATATGTTTTTAAGTGCCCCAGAGCCTTTCATCTTCTCAGTATTTTCTTTCACTCATGCTTTGTGCCTTAGAGCTTTGGGTCGTTTTAATCAGAGGCCCTGAACAGTGTGACCTCTCTGTTTTCCTTGTGAGTATTTCACAGTAATGTTTAGATGCTTTCTCCTGACATTTCAAACCACTCCTTGGTTGGAAGGCTGGGGATCAAGTTCTAGCTGTGATAGATTGATTCACTGTATGACAAATTGTCCGTTTCCTTTTGTGATATTTTTCCTTAGTAATACTTGACTTCTGTTTCTCTTTGTTGGTGATATTGTAGCAAAAACACACTCAGGAATATGGAAAGATCTTCAAGTCTCACTTTGGTCCCCAGTTTGTTGTATCCATTGCAGATCGAGATATGGTTGCTCAAGTCCTCCGAGCAGAAGGTAGAGCACCACAAAGAGCTAACATGGAGTCCTGGCAGGAATACAGAGACTTACGAGGGAGAGCCACAGGACTTATTTCTGCGTAAGTGTGGTTACTTCTTCATTTTCTTTGTTTTCTTGTAAAAGTTTACCTTTTTTTCTGAAGGACTGTAGAGGTCACCTGGGAATTCATCCTTTTCTGTGTGGGGAAATTTGTGTGTCTGTTTGGGGGAAGAGGGTAGGAATTTATGGTGAATTGTCTGTTCTACTGTAAATTTTCAAAGGGATGGTAATGGTGCATAGTTTGAATGTGGAGTAAACTACCTTGCATAAAAACATTCTTGAGGAATGTGTATCAACTAGAGTTGTCTGAGCTGACTCACTCACCTGGAAGCAGAAGGGCTTACTAACTTTGGCACAACACTGCGCAAATGTGGTTTTATTGCTTCAGATCTAGACCATTGCATCCACTCAACAGTGTGCTGTGTGGACTTGTTGGCTCAGGTTGGCTTTAGCTTTATTGTTCACCCAAGTGCCTTCTCAGTAGATTAATGCAGAGAGGTCACTGTGTGGTAAATTCGCACTGTAGCGCATCCCCATGCAGATATTTTTGTACGTGGCTGAATCTAGCAGAGGGATCTTTCTTTAAACTTGCATAAACAGGCAGTGTGTGTGGGTGTGGTTAATCGCCACGGAACTGCTCACAGTCGCCACTGACATAGTGTGTTTATTTAGAGGGAAACTAATTTCCTGAGTCATGGACAGTCTCTTTCTTTCACGGTGGCAAAAGGATTATGTATTGCACTTTAGACTCAAATCTTAAGCTGCAGGTCAGAGTCAAACTAACAATTCCTTGATATTTTGTGAAATGAGGTCTTAAATCAAGAGATAGTCAGAAAATGGCTGTTAAAGAGATTAAATTCTTTTGCTGGCCAATAAATTTCTGTACCTTGCGGCAGCATTGCTCCACGTGAAAGAATTTAATGGGAAATACATAGCAATTTAAAATAAATGCATAAAAGACAATTGCCTGTCTTCATAAGGAATTGAAAGACATCTCTGGAACCACTGTCCCCCAATGCTCTGCTCATATGAAGCATGCAGATGCTACAATTCAGATTTGTAGTCTTCAGCACAAAGATCTCAATATGTAGCTCAGCTAAAGGAGAATTTCACTGTAACTTGTTTCTCTATAGCTAGGTCTGCTATCCTGTTACTGTGTGGGTTTAGAATTAGGGTAACTGAAAGTGATGTATCAGTAATGGAATTTATGGTACTAGCTCAAATCGTTGATTTGTCAGATCTGAATGTGATACTTTCTTTGGTAATTAAGCCCCAATTCTAGGTAAAAGCAATTTTGCAGACTATCCACTCAAATATTTATTTAAAGTAATTTTAATAAGAAAATTCTGCTAATTTCTTGTGTTAGCTGCTACTAAAATACTAATATAGAGACCCTGGTCAAATTCACAGAATCACAGAATTCAGAATACCGAGTGGACAAGTTCTGTCACTCAAACCAGAGATTGACTTACACATGTGCATACATGTTGCAACACTGAAAACTGGTGAGGATGCGCAATAAATACAGAGTAAAAATGTAGGAGCATAATGCAAAATATAATTATCATCATTTTCATTTCGCCACTTGCTTTCATTTGACATGAAAAATCATAAACAGTTTCACTGTGGAGCTCTTACCCAGCTGATGATTGTTAAGGAAAATTATGTTTAGACATTATTAATAATTTCTTCTAGAGAGGGGGAACAATGGCTAAAAATGAGAAGCGTACTGAGGCAAAAAATTCTGAAACCCAAAGATGTGGCTGTTTACTCTGAAGGAGTCAATGAAGTTATCACAGACTTAATTAAAAGAATCCACACCCTCAGAAGTCAAGAGGACGATGGGGAAACAGTGACCAATGTTAACAACCTTTTCTTCAAGTATTCAATGGAAGGTAAGCCCGGGCTGTGTAACACCTGTAAAGAAAATGGATGTAAAGCAGCCTGCCTATGGTTACGCGTTTTTGTCAAATGACTAGTGCCCCATTGTGATTAATATGAAAAGGGAAGCTTGCTATTCTGCATCCAGGTGTCTTCCTATTTCGTGCAGTAGGTATCAGTAGAATTCCTCTGTAGAGTCCAAAGAGACACTGCCTTGTATTAAGGGTCAGTTCCTGTGGAAATGCTGGTATATAGGTAAAACAGACAATCAATGCCCTGAGCAGTTTCAGTGCCCCGTCTTTCTATATTCATTTATCAAGAATAAGGATGTTGACTTTCTCAGAGTGTGACTTCTAAGTCACATTAATTTAACAACATACTGGCCAAATTCCAGGTGGGGAGTCACTGTGATGTATCTAAATTCTGTTCATAGATTAAAGTGCGAAAAGGTACTGCTTTCCCCTGCCTACGCATGCCAAATGTGGGGTTGTTGTGCTTGCCTTAAGAATCATTTGCCACTGGCTACCATTAGAGAGGGAACCCTAGATGGAACTCCAGCCTGAGCTAGTACGGCATTTCAGTGTTCTTTCAGACATCTAATGGTGATTCATATTTCACACATTCCTTTGACGGACTGTGTACAACCTGAGCTTGTTATATGTAGTGCCTTTTAAAATCATTGGTACTCTTTGCTGACAGGCAGCTGAATAGTGTGGGATTTGCGAGAACTTCCAAGTTGCTCATCTATGAAGATGCTGTATCAAATTGCTGGCTGCCTGTTTGGTAAACTAACCCGAGTCTGTGCTACATTAATAGTGTCTAAAAACGGCATTAAACTAAGAGTTACCAATTTTATGGAATTTTAAACTCTGAGCTTACAGATTCACTTTAACTGATCGGTTAGTTTAAATTCTTCACATTCTTTTAACTTTTCATTTATAACTTGTGCCTGGTACATACTGATTTCCTATATGAATTGCAGTTTTAATTAACTTACACTGTCAACTATTCAGGGAACCAATGTGTAAGATTTTTTTGAAAGGACCACGTAAAGCGCAAAAGAATGCATAAGAACTAGCAGTTGCTGAAAGAGTTACAGGAGAAATAAAAGGCACAGAAAAATATCTTCCCAGGGAGGAAAATGAGGGAAGGAACAGTGAGTCGAAAATAGCCAGATTTTAAAATTCTTTTTCTCAATAAAGAAGAAATAAAAAGCAAAGAATGGGGAAAAATAAAAATTTCTTAAAATATCTATCTATCTGTAGATATATACTTGAGAATTTGTGGTGAGTTTGATGGGAAGAACAGAGAAAAAAGAGACTACAATGTTAATAGACCAGTTACTCTAATTATCTAATTAACAGTTATTCTAGTATTTCCTGGAAAGATCTGGACAAACTATTAACTAATTAATTCAAAAGCACAAAATTTATTTAAAAACATTTGATTTTATGCAAATGGCTTTGAGAAATTATCTAAATGCCTTTTTAAATTGCCTAATTGCCCCACTGGATTTTAGAAAAATCATTAAATAAGATTATTTTGATAACAGGAATGCTTTTTATACCATACCATGTGATATTTTCATAAATAAAATGGGTAATATGATCTGAATTTTGCAAGATGGGAGGAAAAATTGCTAGAAACCTGTGTTCAGGAAGTAATTAAAAAATGTTTTGCTCTCAAACTGAGAGAACATTTTGGCTAACTCCAGTAGGGCAGTTTCCGGCTGAGTTCTATCTAGTATTTAATGATTTGGTTATGTTTATAACAGCTGAGATGAGAGATCGCAGCGACACTAATGGACAGGTAAGAATTAACTTGATAAATGGAAGAAATTGTCCAGAGCTGAGAAGAGGAAAAACTTAACAAATATGTATAAAGTACTGTTCTTTGGGGCGGTGGGGAGTGGTATGGCTCGTGGGGATCACTGCAACACTGCAGAAAAACGTCTGAGGAAATTACAGCTAGTCGGAAACAAGAGATGAGCCAATATTGTCACTTGCAAGAGTGTCACACGCTTGCTGTTTTTCAGGGCCACTTGGAGTTTATTGTGTGCAGTAAAACCACTGCCTAGAGTGCAAGCTCTTTATCCATTTATGCATGCTCACTATTCATTTACTACCAGCTGATGACGAAGAAAGGCCCAGCCACTGCTAGAAACTCCTGCATTATCATGAATTGTCAGAAATGTCTTTGGGTTTGCATGTCCCTGTGTGTGGCCAGCCAGCACGGCAGGCTCGGGATTTGTGGTGCAATGCAAAACACAGCAGACAGGCTGGAGGGCTGCTCCACTGCTGCTGCAATTCCTGGCTGTCTTCTCATGCTGAGCATTATTGACATTGTAACCACTGTCTCACTATGATGTTTAGTTGGGATTTTTTTTACTGTGTTTTAAAGTTCAATTTTATCTGATCCCAACTGCAGTAATGATAACTGAACATTTTCGGAAGGTAGTTCCATTATGTTAGTATTTTAATTCCTTAAATTATTAATATGTATATATGCATGTGTATAGCAAATTCTTTGATTTCGTATGTGCAGGTGTGGCAACTATTCTGTATGAATGCCGGTTGGGCTGCCTGGAAAACAACGTCCCACAGCAGACTGTTGAATATATTGAGGCTCTGGAGTTGATGTTTAGTATGTTTAAGACCACTATGTATGCAGGTGCTATTCCCAAATGGCTTCGTCCACTTATTCCAAAACCCTGGAGAGAGTTCTGCAGATCCTGGGATGGACTCTTCAAATTTAGTAAGATTTAGTAGTAGAAAAGTTCAGTTGTATTTCTGCAGGTTCTCTGTGTGTTTGAACAGGACTTGCTGCATTTCTCTTCTAAAATTATAAAAAGACACTGTGGCAGAACTAAGTTTCATATCAATCACAGACTGGCCAAGGGAACTGTTTTAAAAGATACTCTATTGAAAAAGAATTTTACAGTACACTGTAAAGATTCCTCTATTTTACACTGCTGTTTCTTTATTTGTCGTCTTCTGTGTCAGCACCCAATCCTCACTCCAGGTCCAAGTTCTTTGCCAAGTCATTATCTTAAGCCACTCAAATTTTAATGACAGTAGTGTTATTGACTTCAGCAAGTTTTCAGTCAGGCATTCTGACAAATAATCACCACTAAAACTGACTAGAAAGTTAAAAAAATTAGACTCTAGCAATTAATTAAACTCTTTGTGAAGTTTATATATACACATACAAGCATTTAAGTTGACATACAGGTACATTGCTGTACTACTACAATGTGGGGTTTTTTTGGTAAATAAAGCATTCCAGGCTACTTAGATGAAAGCTGATTCATAAAGTAAGAAGGAGTTGTCTTTGCAATATATATATATATTATAT